TAAATGCAACATTTTCTAATAAAGCATACTAGGTTAGAAATCTATAATATCTATTTAATAAGTCATTGGAAAGTCAATAACTTAGTGTCATATTTGACTATTTTAAGAAAATATTTACAGATTAATACTAAAGAATACAACTTTGTTTAAATAATGAAGCTTCTAAATTTGTCTAAAATGGTGAATAATGAAATGAATTTTTCCAGAGTAAGGAGCTTTTTTACTGCACAGGTCCTATCCTTTTCTATCTTGAAAATACTGCATTGCACACTTTATTAGGTAAAAGCAAAGGTTACATTTCAGAGAAGATACATTCACAAGGGCACACACAGGGCATCTCGGTGATCCACCCCTTCTCCTTAGTATGTCTAACTGCAAGGCACCTATGTCTTAAAACAATACCTAAATCAAAAATCACTGTGCATTAAAAAAACATACACTTTTATTTACTCTAAAATCACTGTACCCTCTAGATGAAAATAATTTTCAAGATTCTTTTTGTCACTTTTTCCAATCTGTTTCTTGTCAATGTAATCATCAAAATAACCAGCATCTCTTCTTATTTGCACCATGTGATCTAAAACCTTTAAAAACATTAAAAAAAAAACCTATCCAGTTTATGGACTAGGTTGCATGAACACAAAACTGTTCTAGGAGTTCTGGTATCCTGGTGTTTTGTTATTTAAAAAATAATGGTATTGTTGGTATTTAATATTGAATAAATAACTGATGTGAGAAAACATTTGGCCTGAACTTTGATATAACCTAGTATTGAAGTTGTGCAGGAATCACTCTTACTTTGTCTTACAATGGATTTCAAGCCATTTCCAAAAATAGATAAATAGATAATAGATATACAATAATGGTATATATTCTCATTAGCTACAGCAATTTGCAACACTATCTTCCTTCCCAAGGAGCTCACCCCATGTTTTTGGCCTTCTGTAGCCATGGATAAGCTGAAGTGGGCAGTAGCATCCCTCCTAGAGCTGAAAACTACTACCCAAAGAGAGTCAGGAAATTTAAGGAGATCCTTGTATGCTGAGCATCTCTGGCTTGTAAAGATAATTTGGATTGGTGTGGATATCTGTCCCATCAGCCTGGGGGAATTTTTCTCTTCGACTTTTTAGCAACTCTCCCAGAATAATGGCTTCCATCTTGGACACTGAAAAACCATGGAATTAATCAGCAACTTGATTAATGTGGATGGCTTTTTAACTAAATTTTCAGTTTTAGAAATTTTTTTTCCATTTCTAAAATATGTTCTTAATGAATGTGTCATAAAAATATACTTTGCTATCAAATTTTATGTTAGTATTTAAATATAATTTATTTAAATTTGGTAAATTTAATATATAACTTTTCTTTTTATATGCCTAAGTAGTTTCACAAAGAAGTATTTTTTTAATTTACCAAATCTTATGCATTCTGTATGTAATTTTTTGGGTGTATGTTTACTTATCTAAGAATTACTCCGATTGCTAAAATAAAAATTACCAATGATTCTGTGTTTTTAATCTGAAACTTAAAATACAGTGATGACATACTTTATAGTTGATTGGATGTGCTTTTATATATACTATAACTATTTTATAGAAGAAATGTTAAATGACTATTCATAAAAAGTTAGTGTGTACCCTACCCGTTTACATGTAGAATAAAAGTGATAACACTATTTATGATATTCTTTGAAATAATTTTGTCCCTGATGATATATCGCAGATGGACTTACAGAAAAAGATGAGTGCTCACATGAAGACAAAATTGTGGTCATTTCTGACGTACTTTTTTAGGGACAGATGATACTAGGGCAACCTTAAATTTCTCTTTGTGTTGCATAGTATATAAAAATCTATAATTTAAAGAATTTAACACACAGGTTCATCTCAGTGAATAATTAAACATTCTGTTAGGTCAGCAGTAGATTCCGAACATATCTTAATGAGGAAAATTGGTAATTTGTCACAAACATTATGGTACACCAGATTTTGTTTTTCATAATAATGATTAATTAGAAAAAGGTTGTTTTGGGTGAAATAGTATGTAATTCAAGAAAAAAACATTTATGTTAATAGAAAAAAATATTATGCCTGTGTCTATAATGTATGAGGCAAGAGTCAAAGTTAGAAGATCTTGGTTTTTAGATATGACTTATACTAACATGCATTGACATTTAGGTGTAACAGTGATGTTAACAACAATTAAACATTAAATCTAATTTTATCAATTCATTATATATACATTGTTTTCAATATTATTCCTAAATAATGTACTATCACAAAGATACTTTTGTAACCATGCAAGTAAATACATATAAATGATAACTTATAAAATATTAAATATGGACAATAAACTAAAGCAGAAGGTATCCTGCTGCTTTGCCCTGCTGTAGTGGTCTTATAATGCATGCATTTTTCAAATTATTTCACATGGTCAATTTCACAAATGGTTATTATTTGCAAACATGCTGATGGTGTGCATTTCATTTTCCCTTTAAGATAAATGAATATTATTAGGTAATAAACACATATTTTGAATAGTGAGAGTCTATTTTTTCTGGGACAAATAGAATAATGAGGGCAATTACTTTCATGTCAATTACAGATCATTTCATATACTGGCTGTGCTTTCCACAAATCATTTTATTTTTCACTTATTTTATACATTTTTCAAACTATCACTTCACTTTTAATGTTTTTTGTTAACTAATTTTATCCTTGAATAATGTAGCCAATCAATATTCCTTAAACCTGCACCATAGAATAAAAAAGATACTAATTTATAATCAAAGAAACAAATCAAATAATTATATACACATATCTGACGGATATGTGTTTCAATTATATGCAAAACAAACCACTTCAGTATTTAGTGGCTTTTATGCAACAATGATTTAAAAATTTTTAAGAGTTATGGATGGATAGGAAGTTCTGGTCTGAGACAGCTCTGTGAGTTAGTTGTCTAAGGTAGCTATGGGGCATGTCTCAGACCTTAGCTGGAATTAATGCAACAACATCGATGGCTATACCTCTATCTCTGTGCTTTCCTTCATGCTCTCTTTTCAAGTGATAGTTTATCCTCATTTTTTGACATGTCTTCAAGCACCTCACTGAGAATAAAAAAGACAAAGCTGAACGACCAACTTCAGATTTAAGAAGCAAGGAGATAGTAGATTTTTGTCTTGACAGAGGAAATGATAAAATTACATTTAAAGTGAATATTTATGCTAACATGGGAGGAATTTTTGGCATTTTTTTCAATTTAGCATCAGGTCTCTGGCCAGTAATTGGTTCACTCTAGTGGATACTATCTGTCCCTTAGATCATTCTTTAATGACAAAAGCAATCTTTCCCTTGGCTCAAAAAGCTCAAAAGTTAACCCCTTCCTAGGAATTGTCTTCATACTAACAGAGTGCCTCTGCTAATATATCTTTTAGTGAAAGTTGCACAAGTAATCTATGGATGCTGGGCATAAAATCTCGGCCTCATTGTGATAGCCTGGGTCAACTTTGAAGGTTTACCTCTCTTCATTAGAGTTCAAATTTTCTCTGCTTAAAAGAGGCGCATTTTTTAGACCTCCAAAGACCTGTTTCTAAGAGCATTTACTAATAGACACCATGCAAGCAATTTCCTCAGAGTATGTTTTGTAGAACTCAGTCCAAGCCACTAACCCATTAAAAAATGTTCATCTTTATCCCAGAACCACCAAATTCTTTTTCAGTTTGGACACTGGGTTTACAATTCATTATCTCACGAACTGCATCAGGTCCAGATACAGAAGAAGTTCATTGGCTGTAGGTCCTCAAGAGCCACTGTTGCTTATTCCAGATAAAAAAATGAAAAAGACAAGTTACTTACCCCATAGACCCAACATATGAACTGAAGCAAAAAGGAAAATAATCAATATGGATACTTGTATTCAAAACAGGAGAATATGAAGCAGTTACAAATTCAAGCTGGATATTTGATCTGTTTCCTGGTAATTGTTTCCCAGTTTATTGTTCTCTTGGTTTTTTAACTTTACCCTTTTATGAAACCTTCTGTCCACTGTAATCACCTTCACTTTTTATAAAATGGACCGTGATTGAAGTTAGTAACAGTCAATGCAACTGTATCAATCAGATACCATTTTGCAATTGAAATATTCTCAATCATTTCATCCAAGTCATGGTTACATCCACCTATACAACTATGGAAAATAAATAGTGAGTTTTCTATTAACCTCGAATCCACTCCCTGTTTCACACATCCAAAAATTTTTGTAAAACCAAGTTCTCTCTAACTTAGATCACACAACTAATAGCTATAGGGCAATCCCTTTAAAAGTCTTAAAAGGTGCCTAATTGCTATAGGGCAATCCCTTTAAAAGTCTTAAAAGATGTCTAAAATCTTGTCATTTTTCTAGTCTTTCCTAACAGATTTCTGTTATTTTTCCAGGGTGCATTTGGTACACCTGGTTCCTGATATCAAAACCAATAATTTATACTTTTGTTAAGGTGGAATTCCTACTTGTAGCTATCAATTTATATATTGGTTTCTATTTGTTGTGAAATAAGTGACCTGAAAATCTGTTGGCTTAAAACAACAGTTTATAGTGTTTCTCAAGACACTTACAGTTATCTGAGCAGTTCTTCTCATTTAGTCATCTGCCAACAATATAGCATTGGTTCACTGGTATGTCTGGAACCTCAGATGAGATGCCTGTGGATGGCTGTCTTATTCTTCATATGGTTACCTAGAAGAAAGCTCCTGGTTTATCTGTATGGTGGCTGAGGACTTCCAGTAGCCAGAAATGACAAGTTACGGTGCAAAAGCATGTTTCAAGCCTTCACTTTCCTCACATCTGCTAATGCTGCTAATGGTTCATTCCCCTATGCAAATTACTGGGCAAATCCCAGATTCAAATGGGTGGGGAGATAGATCCCACCTCCTGAAGAAAGAAGAAGTAAGTTCACATTCTAACATTTTGTGTATGCAGGAATGGGAGAAATTTTGGCCATCTTTTCTTTTTTCTTTTTCTTTTTTTTTTTAATTCTTTTTTTTTTCCTTCTTTCCTCTTTTTTTCCTCTCTCTCCTCCTAATACACACTTTTTTTTTGTAAGGGGAATACCATGATGTCGCTCTAGCCCGGCCCCTGTAGACGCGACCCCGGGGCCTGCTGTTAAAACCACTGTAGAATCGAGAGCGGGAACTGTTGTAGTTGGTGGTCCGTGCGCGGTAGCGGGCTCGTGGAAAACCCCGGTCTGTTGTGCTGATGCCTGGTCTGTTGGTTCGTTTTGGGATCACCTTGATTTGCCTTCCTCTAAATAGGGACTCATCTAAGGCCAAGGAAGTCGTCACTGACTCTTTGTCTGAGAACTCTATATATGCAAACCCTTTGGGATGGCCACTAAATTTGTCACAGAGTATGGTAACACGGTTGACTGAACCACAGCCATGAAAGTGAGCTTCCAGCTCTTCTGCTGTTGCACCACAGTCCTCATTGCCAACATAGATGGAACGGGCATCAGCCTCCATCTTCTCCTCAATGGACATGATCACTGGGCCAGCATTGCCTGGAGGTGGACTCATATTCATCTGCTTCTCTACCTCGTTCTGTAGTTCCTTTAGCTTCTCAGCTTCTTCCTCCATCTCCCTTGACTGGAGCTTTGATAGCTTCCAGCCCCGGGTCCTCAATGGCGCCGTCCCCGGGGTCACCCTTGACCAGTCCCGGCTCCTCCTCCTCCTCTTGACTGCCGGGGGCTCCCGAACCAGGCCCAGGGCCCGGAGCTCCCGGGGGCGGGGCGGCTCCTCTTCAGGCTCGGGCTCCGGCTGGGGCTCCAGTTCCTCAGACTCCAGGCCGTTCCCGTAGTCCCCTGCGCCCCCCGGGCCCTCCTCCCCGGCCTCCCCACCGGCCCCCAGCACAAGATGGCGCCCCGACCGCCCGCAGCCCCCGCTGCTGCTGCCGCCGCCGCCATCGCCGCTCCGGCCATCTTTTCTAATGGGTTATTTGTAAATTCACAGAAAGAAAACACACTACAAATATGAAATTTAAACAACTTTTCATTTCTCTCTATATTAAAATATAAAACTCACATTTTTCATGAATATTCTTGCACAGATAGTAGGAGTAACAGGGTGTCCATTTAATATAAGCTTTTAATTAATATGAAAGAACATTAGACCCTGAAACACGTGGCCAGTAAAGTTATCCTGATAAATGAAGAAAAGGCGATCAGATGATTTACTCTATATGATCTGGGGGGAACGGGTTTGGTCCATCAAGAGCTTTATTTTGTTTAACCTACTTTGGTCTACCCCTAGAGTTATGTTAGTACCTCTGATGAAAAATAGGAAAAAAAATAGAATAATTAAACTAAATATAAAGATCCAGCACCAAAATTTAGCAGTTTATGAGGGACTTAAATATACATAGGTCCAAAGATCATTAACTCTGAAACAGATTTTTTTTTTGAATTTTTCATTTGGCATGGACAGCACTTCTAGTTCACATTCTGGGGTAAGGTGTCCAACAAAAGACACTTTGCCTCTTCACACTGAGTGTTTTATTCTTCCATCAGAGATCATACTTTATTCAACTCCTTGAATTAATCCAGGAAGAAATTATTGCTACTGGTGCCTAAGTAAGAGCCTTTCATTGCTCTAAAAGCAATAACTGTTGCTCATAGATGCAGTTTCTTTATGTAAGTAGTTTGACCTCCATTGGCTCTATGAATACTTGGGACTAGATCTGCTGCTTGGATTCATTGCAGCAGCAATAACTCAGGCTTTCTAAGCCAGTGGGTAACTAAATTGAATGTATTTTTCTCGCTGAATAAATAAGTATAGTATTTTATACTTTCTCATCATTTATTGCTTTCTTATCCTTGTTTAAATGTATACTAATGTAACTATATTTTCCAAAATCTTAAATTTTCTCCTCAAAGATAAAGAAATGGGTTTGTGAAACTACATAGTGCTTTGAAACTAAATATCATGAATGAATTAAATGTCATAAACATAATCACTAGATACAGCTTCATAAAAAAAGTAACTTCAATTCCAAAATATTTTTATTATTAAATTCATTACTGAGTTTAAATCTAATGTATGATATAAAATACTCTGTTGAGTGGCATCCTTGGTTGAATGGTAATTCATGTTTGATTTTCAAATACAGAACAATACATTCTAAAAAGATTATACTAATTTTTATATCCACATGCATGCATGAGAATGTTTTTTAATACTAATCTATTATTAAATTTTGTCAAATTAACTTTTATCAATCAAAATAAAATTAACAATATATTAATTGAAATATATTAAACCATCAGTGACTAACAATATTTTTGGACATTTGTCTTTATCTTCTGCCATTACCTGTTCAGATATTATTTTCGTTAATTTGTAGAAATTGTTTTTACTGTAGGAATACCAATCTCTTATAATTATTTCAGATATTTGCTTTCAATCTCATATTTGTACATACCTATGATTTCTACAAATATACACAAATGTAAAAATGTATATAGTAAAATCTGTCCATTTTTGTCTTTATATCTGTATTGTTTTATTGATTCAAACTCTTTTACCAAACAAGTCACTGTAAATATACAGTGTATTTGCATTTTTAAATATCCTCAAAAAATATCTTCAGGGTATTTTCTCCTTTTTTACTCTTTATTTTCAGGGTTTCCTGGGAAATTCTTGAAAATTATTCTTCTCTTATAGAATCAAAATAAACTGGTCAATATTCATCATAAATTTTCCCAGCTTTATTGACATATTTGAAAAAAATTTGCACATAATTAATGCATAAAATTGATGAGTTTGGATGTATGTATACACTTGTATTACTGTCATCATAATCTAGATAGCAAACCTGTTCATCAATCCCAAAAGTTCCTTATGCTTCTTTGTTTCGTGTTTGTATGTGTGTCTGTGTGTGTGTGGTAAGAGGATTTAACAGGAGATCTATCTTCTTAAATCCTACAACACTTACTAGAAGCTCTATTGTGTACAATAGATATCTAAAACTTATTCACCCTGTAGAAGTGTAATTTTATTTTACAGCAAAAAGTATTTTTAATTTCAGTTTTTATTTTAGATACAGAGAGTACATGTGCAGGATTGTTACATAGATATTGCATCCAGGAAGAAAGCATAATACCCAATAGTTTTTCATCCCCATTCCTTCTATCACCCAGCCCCCAGTAGACTGTAGTGTCTATTATTCCCATGCTTATGCTCATATGTACTCAATGTTTAGCTCCCACTTATAAGTGAGAAAATGTGGTATGTGGTTTTCTGTTCCTACATCAATTCACTTAGAATTATGGCTTCCAGCTCCAACCATGAGTTGCAAAGGACAAAATTTTATTCTTTTTTATAGCTCTGTAGTATTTCATAGCATATATATACCACATTTTTTTTATCCAGTCTACCATTGATGGACACACAGGTTCATATGGAACCAAGAAAGAGCATGAATAGTCAAAGGAATCCTAAGAAAAAATAACCTAGTCAAATGCTTTACAGTTACCTGACTTCAAACTTTACTACAGAGCTACAGTAACCAAAACAGCATGGTACTGGTACAAAAATGGAAAAATAGGCCAAAAGGACGAAATAGAAAACTCAGAAACAAAGCTGCACACCTAAAACCCTCTTATGTTTGACAAGGCTGACAAAAACAAGCACTGGAGAAGACTTTCTATTCAATAAATGATTCTGGTATAACTGGATAGCTATATGCAGGAGAATAAAACCAGACCCCTACCTTTCACCATGTACAAAAATTAACTCAAGATGAATTAAAGGTTTAAATGTAGCAAAAAAAAAAAAAAAATTAAAGCATAAAAGTCCTGGGAGAAAACCTAGAAAATCATCTTCTCGACATCAGCCTCGGCAAATAATTTTTGGCTAAGTGTCCAAAAAAGAAAACCACAACAAAAACAAAAATTGGCAAGTGAGACCCAATCAACCTAAATAAATTTTGCACAGAAGAAAAAAGCACACACACACATCCCAAAACCATCAAAAGAGGAAATGGACAACCTATATAACGTGATAAGATATTTGCAAACTACATCCAACTAAGGTCCAATATCTGGAATCTATAAGGTACTTAAACCAACATGCAAAAAAAAAAAAACATTAAAATATGGGCAAAGGACATAAGAGGCATTTCTCAAAAGAAAACATACAAGTAGCCAAAAAACATATAAAAAAGTTCCATGTCAGTAATCATCAGAGAAATGCAGGTCAAAACCACAATGAGATAGCATCTAACACCATTAAGAATGACTGTTGGCCGGGCGCGGTGGCTCAAGCCTGTAATCCCTGCACTTTGGGAGGCCGAGGCGAGTGGATCACGAGGTCAAGAGATCGAGACCATTCTGGTCAACATGGTGAAACCCCGTCTCTACTAAAAATACAAAAAATTAGCTGGGCACGGTGGCGCGTGCCTGTAATCCCAGCTACTCAGGAGGCTGAGGCAGGAGAATTGCCTGAACCCAGGAGGCGGAGGTTGCAGTGAGCCGAGGTCGCGCCATTGCACTCCAGCATGGGTAACAAGAGCGAAACTCCTTCTCAAAAAAAAAAAAAAGAATGACTGTTATTAAAAGTTACAAAACAGCAGATACTGGTGAGGCTGCAGAGAAAAAGGGGAACAATTATGCACTTTTGGTGGAAATGTAAATTCATTCAACTATTATAGAAAATAGTTATGTTTCTCAAAAACCATAAAACAGAGCTACCATTCAATCCAGTAATCCCATTATTGGGCATATACCATGTACTCCAAGGATAATAGATCATTCTACCAAAAGACACATGCACTCACATGTTCATCATCACACTATTAAAAATAACTTAGGATTGTAATTTTATATCCACTGAACAAAACACATATCTCCTTCTTTCCCCATTCCCTGGTAACTACCATTCAATTGCCAACTTCTATACATTCGACAATTTTATATGCCTCATGTAAGAAGAATAATGCAGTAGTTGTCCATCTGTGACTGGATTGTTTCATGTAACATAACATCTTCTAAGTTCATCCATGTTGTTGCAAAGAGCACCACTTCTTTCATTTTTATGGATGAATAATATTGCATTCTCTATAAACACCAAATTTTATTTCATCTTCTGATGTGCATTTGGGTCATTTCCATATCTTGAATGCTATTGAGAAAAATGCTTCACTGGACATAGAAGTGTGGATATCACTTTGAGATTCTAATTTCAATGCTTTTGTAGATGTACACCCAGAAAATGGATTGCTAGGTCATATGGTCAATCTATTTTTAATTTCTTTTGTGGAACTTCCATGCTATTTTCCATACTAGCTGCACTATTTTACATTTTCATCAACAGTGTAAAAGGGTTTTGATTTCTCCACAGTGCAGCCAATATATATCAATTATTGATGTCTTCATCATAGCCATTCTAATAGGTGTGAGATGATAATTCATTGATATATTGCTTTATATTTCCTTGATGATTAGTGATGCTGATATTTCTATATACCGGTTGACTATTTGTATATCTTCTTTAGAGACTTGTCTAGCTAAGTCCTATAGCCATTTTTTAACAGTTTATTTATTAATTTTTATTTATTTGCTGTTGAGTTATAGGAGTCTCATATATATTAGTAATAAACTCTTTTGGATATGTGGTTGCAAATATTTCTCCTGTTTTATTCAGTAAAATAATTTTTTTAAAAATTCTAATTACTAATATATTTTATTAGTTTGCAATTTCAAGAGTTGGTAAATTTACTCATATAAATTTCTATTAAGAATATGTTAATCTCAGGCCATGTACAGTGGCCCCCAGCACTTTGGGAGGCAGAGGCTGGCAGACTGCTTGAGCCTAGGATTTTGAGACCAGCCTCGCCAACATGACAAAGCCCCAAATCTATGAAAATATAAAATTAGTACTGGAGAGGCTGAGGCAAAAGAATCACTT